AGATTCCAGGTCACAAATCGCGTGGGCGATCCCGATCCCTGGTTGTTGTTGGTTGACACACTTGAAACCTCCCGTGCTGGAGCGCCGATAGGCCAAGCACAGGGGCTCCCACCCAAGGAGCAGAACCCATCCACCTGAAGGTGGCAATCCCAAACGGGGTTTGGACCATCCGAGTCCTTGGCGCATGCGACCGGCTCCTTCTGCTCGCCACACCTTGGTTGTGGCACGGACCCTTGTCAGTTATAGATTGCCGTAGACTTTCCCTACGCCCTTGGGCCATGAACACCATCCGTTCATGACATTCCTTTCAAAAATGCTAACGTGCAACCCAAAGGCCACGAAGCGCGAGCCAAGTGGAAGTTGGGTTTCTCCGCACAACCTGTTCGCTCGAAGAATTAGAGGCACAGTTCGAACACCCTTGTACTCACTCACCATGTAATGACGACACCGAAGCAGTAAATGCCAATGACCGCAACACTTGACCGTTAACACCCCTCAGCCGCAAACCGTGAATCCTGAACATCCTGTTGGCCAAAGCATTGGCGTTCTGAAGCTTAAATCTCAAGCTACCTCCAAAACTGCCCTATCGACAGAACACGGCCTGAGCCAGCTGTTGTCACCAAACCCCAAATCCGGCCCCACATGCCCCATATATATATATATGTCTATATATGTATATACTACATCCCTATAAATGCCCATAGACCTTCATACACCTCGGTACATCCCTCTTTGTCCCTACATCCGCAAGCATTGAATACTTCGACCTCCTACCTGAACCCAAACCTCAAACCCCACACCCTAAAATCTAACACCTAGACACCAAAATCCTAGACCCTAAATCCTGAACCCTAAACCCTGAGCCCCAAGCTTTAACCTGGTCATGCAAGCAGCTCGGAAGCTCAGCTAGGCTCCGCCCTGAGCCCCGGAGCATTGGCACTGAACTCTCCTAGCCCAAAGTGAAGGTTTCGGGTTTAGGGTTTGGGGTTTAGGGTTCAGGATTTAGGGTGGTCAGAATCAAATGAAAAAAATAGAACATGAAATGGAAACTGGGATTATATGGAGGATTATAGGGGTTATAGTCTAAACTCCTAGTATCTCCCTTAATAACCCTTGTAATAGTCCCCTGTATATAATCACGGCGCTTTCGGAGTTTAGACTGTGGGTCATATAGGGACCGATAATTCTTATCATGGACATCCGACTTTGTAGTAGATAGATACGTAGGATCCCTTGGGTAAGTTGGAGAAATAGAGAAAACCGCAAGTTTGGTGTTTTTTGAACGGTTTTATGAAGTTTTTGGATTAATTCGGGTTTGTTGGCCTTCTTTTGGGTGTATCGATTCCGCTGGTTGGGGGTAGATGTTGGCAAATGCAATTATTGAAGCCCGTTTCGGAGGATTGAACAGACATATCTACGGACTCTGCCAGCTTTAGGACACTAAACTACAAGTTCCCGGGGCCCCCGGTAGAAATTTTAATGTGAGCGGGTTACAAGGATTATAGATAACAGAAACTAAGCAATGTTTTCAGGGAACTTCCAGTACAGCACACATCGTGTGAAGGAAACGGATTGCGGAAGGGGAGCTCTACAAGCCTTCTACGCCAGGACCGTGATTTTGGAAGCCCTGGTGCCTTTCTAGTGGGTGCCAACCCCTAGTCTCTAAAAACAAGTATATTACCTTCAACCCAGGAACCTATCGTTTAGGAAACTTGGCTCATAGGGATAAATACAAAGGCTCTTGGAGAGAATCTTGAGGCACTGTGGTGACTAAACTCAATTTTAACAGAGTGCTTGCAATGGGCTTCTTCTCAAAAATATAAGCACTACAGAAGGGCTAAATGCGGCAAAAGTTGAGATCATACAGCGTCTCTACTACATGGGAACGTCTGGCAACTTCCCCCCCAGCTAATCAAAAGGGGCTCCTATTGATATGCACTGCTAAACCCCTTACATATCCTGAGGCCTCCAATAACCATGAGAAATCAGTCACTTTTCTCCAACCCTATCCCGGCCTCCGCGAAAGCCAGCGCCAGGGTCGCAAGCTGCAGTGTGGCCCGACCTAAGCTTCAAGAAGGATTTTGTGGCCCTAATAATGGAGAATCAAATGGAAAACGCATGGAAGTGTAATCAAAACAGGAGTTATCCTAAACCCCAAGCAAATTGGACCCCATCGTAATCACATGCTAGTAATATGTTCATTCCTGGTTGTTTGGTTGGGGCCACCAGGCCCCTCCTATCAAAGCTTCCACGAGGGATTTGTCCCAACGCTGGCGCACGCCGGGCAATTGCTTTTACTTTCAAGCTTGTTGGGGTTAAGGTTCAGTGTTTCGGGTGTAGGGTTTAGCTGAGGCTTTATCCGAAAGATTGGGTCACTTTTTTGGCCTGAGGAAACCTCATACTCTTAGGTGATCCAGATGAAGCCCAAGTTGTGCCATAGCTCCTGGGAACTAATAAAGTGAATCGTCCAGGGGGTGTACAAAAAAAACATCTTTGTTGTACAGGAAAGCCCTTACCTTCAACACATTGCATATTTCGCAGGTTTTGTCATGTCTTTGCGAAACCATGGCCCAGAAAGCATACAACAACGCACCACAAATACGGCCTAGCTGCCCATCAGCATCATGAGTGGAAGGCCTTTGTGGTCTGGGGGGTGGCGGTCAGCAGCGCTACTGATACTTATGCCAAAATGGCTGCGCGCGGGTTCTGTGAGTTCTAATGAATCCCGCATCAGTCTGCACAACCACCTGCGGCAACACACTCCAAGATTCCACTCTACCTGCATCGCTTGCTTTGAAGGTACAATGCTGAAGCAACACCGCCTCCCTCAGGCAAACCGGCGTGCAATCCAGAAGCAACCCTAATGCATTTCCTAGAATTGTCCTTTCCACTCTCTGGGCGCATCCAACCTGAAACTCGTGTATAAGGACCCAAACCCATGGCATGCTTGTGAACTTCTATGCGTTGGTAAGCTGACATGGGAATTGCATTGGGCGTCCTCAGCGCTGATGATGCCGCCCTTGGCCAAGGATCTGAAAATCGGGGTAACGTCTTTGGAGGCATCGTGGCGCTGGTTCACCAGCACCCTCGCCACCATATGCCTGGCAACAGTTGGCACCCCATATAGACCAAGCCTTTCCAATCAGGCAAGTAAGGGAGGCCAAGGTTCCAAGGCGACATTAATCTTGCAAGCTGCAAGAACCGTCCTTTGTAGTGGTGCACGACCAAGCGCGTGAACTCATTCCCCGAACACTGACGTCCACAAAAAAAATGAGGTTTCCCAAAATTAGGGGTACCATTTTGGAGGAGTATAGCATTTTGGAATTCATTTTTGGGTCCAGTCTTTATGGAAACGCCCAAGTTCTCCCTCAGAGCATCCGCAATTCCAAAAATTGACTGATGAGTACTTCTAATGCGGACCAATACTACTCTGACAAGGGATCACCGTAAGAATGAACGGGGGGGGGGGGGTTCCATGGTCGAAAAGGGACTAAAGATAGATATAATACAGTGAGCACGGAATCATGGGTTCCCCTCCAACGAACATGATGTAAATATTGATGTTACTTAGATGGGGGGGGAGGGCGAGGGGGAGGGGGGCGGGGGGGAAGGAAGGGGAAACGGGGAGACGTTCATCAAATTGCACACAACTTGAGGTCCCGTCCGGCAAGACAACTAATTATCCACGCATTCAAAACGTTATTCCAATTGATGGCGGAGTTGCTCCAACAATCGCCGGCGGACAACACTGTTCTCCAAGTTCCTTGCCAGCAGAGTGTGCAGCCATGCAATGTATGCAATGTTGTCTCAAGGATTGCCGTGGTTCTTTGCTTGTTTTGCGTGGCACCTGGGCACTTGACCTCTGAATCTTGTGTTTCAGCTTGCCCGACAAACATCTCGCACCCATTCAACATGCAATGCTGGCTGAGTCTCCTCATGATGAGCTGACGGCGTCGTTGTTCATTCGTGGTGAAGGTGCTGGGAATGAGCGTCGGGAACCTGCCCACGAATATTCTTCTTCCCTGCCTGCTTGCCACAATACATGTCAAGACCATTTCCAAGATCCCAAACTTTCGTCTTCTGGACACAATCCGTGTTGAATGTTGGTGTCGTTCACGGGTAATAATATCATGCCAGGTGACAATGTCAGCGCAACAGGCAACAAGAGCTCCGCGCCGGGGATGATCAAGAAAACCTGAGCACCAACATGATTCGACACACTTTGGTGGCTCAATCAGATTATGTCATGAAGCCTACGCCGCATGACAAGGGAATATCCGAAAGCATCCGAAAGCCACACAAACGCAACGCGACTTGGGTGTTCCATTGCCACCCAAATCAATTGGATGACCCGATATCAGCTGGGTGCATGTAATCATATCCCTTCACCTTCCACAACTGCTGCACTCTGGCTCGTGAAGTGAAATCAAACTATTTCCGCTGGATGCAACGAGATGCCGCCGAGGCACAGAAAAGGGCAACAGCCGCACCAAATCTTTGGCCGTGGTTTCCAGCAATTGGCGCTCGCCTGGAAATCCAATTTCAACCGTGCATTACCTCTGCAACATAAAAGTGCTCACCAGCCGGTGCTCTTGGTGGTCAACATATGTCAACATTATCCTCGGCCACTTGTGCTGGCAAATCGCGTCGCGTGAGTTTCTGGCCAGTGGCCACCTGGTTGCGTAGCTTCCATGCAGTACCTCGAATCAAGGTCCAACATGTACATGTCCAAGGCGGGAAGGTTTCACAATGCCGTGGTCCCCTTCTCCACAAAATGCAAATGCGTGCATGAAGGCAACCAACAACAAAACTTGACAACAACCTTTCGGCAGGCGTCAATGTCAGATATTTCTTGGGCCCTGGCGCGTGTTCACAGCAAGCAGTCGGCTACCGTGCCACAAGTGCAGGGCTTGATCCTCAGTTTCATTCTCCGTTTGGCGTGCGCCCAATGACAGGGGAACATACAAAGCCACTGAAAATGTGAGCTCTGCTTAGTGCCTACCATTAACCTCCAGATGTACGTGCACCTCCCGCAAAGGTCACAGACTAGTACCTAAAAAACGACGGGCCGAAACCAAAGCCGGCATGATCAGGTGGGGTTCGGATTTTGGGTGCGGGGGGCACCTTGATCCGGCGTGCTCCTGTTGTTTACGAACGCGCATGGCCTTTCCGCTCATGTCATCACGGAAGAATACCTAATCAGAAAAACCCGCTCAAACACTTTTCCCTGCGCCGCGGCTTACAAACCTTTCGTGCAAGGACTTCCTGCCTTGGAGGCCTTTACAGCAGGAGAATTTATTCAATTCTTGATTAGCTTACTTATAAAGCTTACTGCATCCGATTCAACCTGTGTGCTCAAGCGTTGCTTCCGGAGTTACATCTAACGGTTTTTGATGGTTCTTGCCTGCAAGGTCCGTGAACCCACGTCCTTGGCTGCATAAATTGCTGCGCCGAAGGTTCCCACAACCACGCCCGAAGCGTCTGAAGTTGATTGACGCTGGATTTTTTCCTGCGAAAGGAACGTGCATGCGAATTGTGGGGAAACTGCGAATGAGATCCCATCCCTTGTACACGTTGCATCAGGGTCCAAGAAATGACGTGGTGGCGGCGTCGGAATGGCCCCAACACGTCATGACTATAGACTATACGTGGAACAAATGCAGGGTTCGCTACATCAATCATGTTACGCAATCATGACGAAACATGTGAATACCCATCTCCGTTTCGTGGGCTCCGCAATGGTGCTCAAAGGCCGCACCACCTGCCCATACAAAGTGCGCACGCAAACCATGTGTCATCTCCTGTCATGTCATGCTTGCCGGCCATGATCGGGGAATAGTTGATGCCGAGCACAAGCACTCACGCCATTTTGCTTTGATTCGAAATGAGCTGGGGGACCCAACATAGCACATGACGACATGTCTGCATGCATGAGAACAAACAAGCATGCACAAACAGCGCCTGGCAAGCCTTGACTTTGCTTTGCTGTGTAAGCTGCGCCCCACCTCAAGCCGCAGTGGTGCAGGTCCATCTGCCCTTGCGGTGTCGAAAACCCTCACCTGAGATGGCGGCAAACCAGGTCTGAATTTTGGTTCTACTGGGTACTTCGCACCTGACATAATGCATCGCGCGCATGCATATCTTGGGGAGCTGCTGCATGGCTTCGGCGTAATGTCTGCCAACGCGTTGCCCAGCGCCGCATGGCGAAAAACAATGCAATGGAATGTGCAATGGATTTGGGGGTTGCCACCTCCATCTCCTCAACAATGTCAAGGCTATTCAAGGCTAATTTGTGGGGTGTTCTGCATTTTGTGCCTGCGTGCATTTTCAAGCAAACCGCTTGCAAAATGCTCCATCGCACAAGGCAAGTAATGCACGTGACAACAAATAGAAACGAATGAACGAATTCAGGTTTCCGCAATTTTTTTTGGGTTTCCGCACGTCACGAGAAACCAACTTTGTGCCTCTGCAGGTGTCCCTCACCTGCACCTTGCGCACAGCAGCGCCGCGGTGGACAAGACTCCCCACCACCGTCGCGCGCCTGCTGCGCAACCGGAAGGTCGCGTAGCACATCGACTTTTTTTTTATCGGCAAAGGCTCGCTGCGCTGCCACGGCCAGGATGCCACTCCACCTCACGACGCGCTGCCCTGGCCGCAGCCCGGAGGGAGGTAGGCACTTCTGCTGCACGCGCGCGGGCTAGCAAGCGGATGAAGGCTGCTGCTTCAGCGGCCCACGTGCCGCCTACCTCGAGTCCTGCACGGGCGCATCCCCAAGTTCGTATCAGCCAAGCGCACATTCCTGGCCACACGTGCGCCGCCGCTCGGTGATCGAATTAAACTTTGGCTCTCCGGGATCCATGGATGTCACGACCCAACTTGTTTCAAGGCGCTGAACTTTGGCAAGTCTGGCAAATGCAGCCGTTTTTTCCCAAGGCTGCCCGTTATCATAATTTTTTCCCCTCCCAAGAAGCAACTTGTCGACAGCAGCGCGCGTTGCTCTGCGCCGTGGTTGCCCCGTGTCCGGGGCCAAGTGCCTTGCTCAAAGCAGGGGCAATCGGCTGGGGCCGATCGGCTCGGCCTGTGCCAAGACTTGATCCAACATTTTTTGTTTTCCGTGCTGATGACCATGTTGTTTTCAGGTGAAAATTATACAGGAAGTGTCAACGTTCTCATTTATGCAGTGACACGCTCCTGGTTGCCATGCACCAGGAGCATGCCCAACAATTTTTCAAACATGTGGTCCAAGCTCCGCCAAGATGCGTCAAGAAATGGTGTGTTGCCATTTTTTTCCACATACCTTTTTGCGCCTCGGGGTATGTGGCTCGCTTGCGACGCTCTGCTACTTGCAACACGGCACCATCGCGAGCAGGGGCCCCATCATGTGGGGTACCATCAGTTGCCAATTCCTAGCAATGTCAACTCGTTTGGGCCGGAGGGACGGGGAGCCTCCTCGCTGCAAACGCTCCAGCAGGCAGTGAAAATCGTAGACGGCTCGCCACGCCAAAACAAGATTTTGATGCATTGAGTTGCTTAAGGAATCACACCACTCAGGTCTTTGCTTCATGTTTTCTTTTTCACGGGCCTTCTTGACCTTCTTGTGTCTGCCGACCTGTCTCCTGATCAGCTCTACGCCCGCAGCAGCATGCGATTTGGGCCCTCCATTGCCCTCCGCTGCTGCCATTTGCAGCAGCTGGTCCAAGCCCGGGCATGCCCGGGCCAAAGGAGCATCCCGCATCGCCAGTTGCCAGCCGGGCCTTGTGGGCCCAAAGCACAACTGCCTGCTGCACCGCCACTGCCAACATACCGCTCCATCGTCGCGCCCAAGCTGACGTCGCGGTGCGGGCGGAGGTCGGGCAGGAGTTGCTGCGCCCCGTCATTCCATCTCCCGCCCACTTCAGCGCCCAGAGCCCAGAACCACGAGGCGGCAGCGGGCCACCGCTCAGTTCCAATCATCACATCGCGCTTGCTCTGCGCTGCATACTGCGCGGTTGCGCAAACCCGAACCAAGAAAATGGGTCCCTTTTCAGATGCGCCGTGCCTGGCGTGGGCCATGCCTGGCTACAGAGGAACGGGC